TTATCCCTAGGGGATACGTTCCAAGATCCCCAATGGATGCCTGAATTCCCAGAGAGTACCCCGTGACATGTTTCTGTTTGTGTCTTTCACCCAAAATTTAATGCCTTTTTCATCTTAACTAAGTGCTTATCACATACTGTGGCGGTGACGTTTGCAGCTTGAGGTGCAACAGCAGAATAATCATGAATTTCTTTTTCCTTCTTCACAATTTTACATATAAAGATTGATTCTTACCATAGATCTTAGCAACCTCAGCATACGATTTCTTTTTCTTTTCTTATTGAGAACTTCTACTTTTCCACTTAAAGAAAGAACTTTACAGCTGCTTTTTGGCATATCCAAATTGCCAGGATCACTGCTCTTGCACTTTGGGGCCATTAAGTAACTTGAAGTTACCTGAAGACAAACACTACAATGCCATGGCAGTCCGTCTGATAACCAAGATGGCTGCTGAGTCACTAACAGGCAGGCAGCCTGTACACGATGGATACACTGGACAAAGGGATGCTTCGCATCGTGGGCTGGATAGAGAGGGAAGGCATGAGATTTCACCACACTATTCAGAAAGGCATATCACTGAAAAGTTCATTTATTTCTGGAATTTTCCATTTAATATTTTCAGACTGTGGTTAACCATAAGTAACTTGAGATTGCAGAAAAGTCGAAACCACAGATGAAAGGAGACTACTGTATATGATGTTTTCACCTCAAGAGCATACAATAATTTGAAACAATTAAAGAACGATGAGTTTTGAATATCACCTTTATTTTTAATATATTTATTTCAGCAAATAATCCCTGAAAATGTAAAGATTGGCTTTTGCAAGCTCTAGCACACCACTGATGGATAATTGAAGAAAATGGTAAAGGTTGGATCCAGAGCACTTTATAATTTATTATTGTGCAGGGCAAGGGGCAAAAACAGACTGAGATGATTTTTCAATTTTAAACCCAAGTGTCAAGGAGAGCCTGAGAGTGGGAGGAGAAGATATGAAAGAAGAAGATGCTGATTAAGCTTAGAATCTTTTTTGTTGTACTTGAAGACAGTTTGAAATACCAGTCTCCACTTGTGCTGAAAAAGAGAGCCGTCACTTTAGGAATCCTTTGGAGACTACTATTGAGAGAAAGGACAGAACTTTGGGGGCATGATCCACATTTTGGGGACTGATAGAGATATGTAATCTGAGAAATTGATATAGATGGAAGAATCCAGAGAAGCAAGTAGAGAATTAGCATTGGAGTCAAAAAAAAAAAAAAATGAAACATACTGAGGCAGAGTCTGAACAGGTGCCAGTAGATTTCTGAAGATGACATTTAGAGTTCCTCTTTGATTTCAGTTTCAAATGTGGTAGGAATTCTACCCTGTTAGCAGAACCATGATACAGGATCATGATATAGTTATTTTGGGCCGATTTTGTGTACTACCTCTTTTGGATTATTTTGTGTATGGAGTATTTACACAATCTCCACCCCTGATACCATTGACCCCAAGGGAGTATCTGATGTTTCTCACACTCCCTTGACTAGTGTCCTTAAAACCAAGGATAAAAGGCTTTTCAAGGAACCCGCATTAGGGAGAGTCAAATGCTGCTAATGGAGTATTAGAGAAGAGCAGGCTACAAAAAAGTCAGCATATTTGGCAATGATTGCTAACCTAAATGGTGGAAAACATTATGAAGCAATGGGGGTGCTGGGAACAGGGTGCTAAATTTTAACACCATAGAACCTGCATTTGAGTCTGCTCTGCCATCCAGGCATGGCATGGATGACTGTAGGACTTCAGGGCAGTTCCCCAGTGTTGTGAGTCAGAGAAGGGGAAAGGAAACCAACATTTGCTGAATGCCTCTTAGGCGCCAAGCACTGTGGTAGGCAGGCCTTTGAGTGCCATCTCATTTGCTATGAAATAAATATGAAAGCAGACAGCTCCTCAGATATAAGGCACATTTACTGAAAAGAAGGCAGAGAAAAGGAAGAGCAGCTTGAGGGAGTAGATGAAAGCAAGATTTTAAAAGCCAAATCTCAAATGTTTTGGAAGTAACTCTATCATAATTTTCTCAGCATTACGTTGCCTGTTTCTTGTCAGCTTTATAGGCTGAATGTTAAAATGGAGTTTTTACCTAGAAATAAGTTACTCTTCCATTATGTTTGCAAAACACGGTATGTTTCATTTAGCCTTAAGACTTACTGGATAATTAGACTCAGTAGAAAATTAACGAGAGTTAATTGTGACCATCATGATTTAGGCAATATGGGAAAATAAGGAAGGAGTTAAGTGACTTTGTCAGGGACACACAGCCATTGATATCTGAAGAAGTACCTTGAACCTCATGGTCTCGCTCCCAACTAAAACATACATTTAATATTTAAGAAGTCCCTCAAGAATTCTTCACCACAGAAGAAAGGTAACAGGTTAAGTTCCAGAGGTCAGCTCCTTCCCTGTCTTCCATATGAATAGCAAGGTTGGGCAGTTTACAGTATTTTGAGTTTTGGGGGAAAAAAAACAGGTTTTGTTCAAATCATAGCCTCTGTTATTTCTTTTCATCCCACAATTCATGATTTGGACTCATACACATATTTGATTTTTTTCCCTTCCTTATTTTTTGGATTAAAAAAATCACCATTATGAAAAGGTTGACACTGTTTAGAGTTGGAGTTATTCCTACCAATTTTTCAAGATCCTGTAGTATCTTTCTGCCAGAGTATAGAACCATGCATCATCCAGACATTTGAATGGTCCCTGATGCATATTTTGAGAAAATAGTCCTGCCATTATCTAGAATTGACGTGATATATAGGGCTCAGTTATAAGGTTTACAGTGTGATTTCCATTGGGAAGAATGGCATAAAACTGTGTCCAATTAGAAACGATGCACAGCTGCAATGAAGACAGTTTAGAAAGACAACACAGAAAGAATGAAAGATGTTACTCAGAGTCTCGGGACCTGCCAAACACAGGATTTGAAAGAAACCCAGAAAGGGAACTCTTTTCCAGGTTAAGTCTGACTTGGGTTTAACTGCAATCCAATGGCATATCAGGAAACCAGCAGACACACTACTTATAAAGTGACTTTCCTGTCTGTTTATTCCAATCAAACACTATGCAGAGCAGTCCTCAGATACTCCTTACTTAGTTCCAAACCCTTGTCAAATGCAGGATTTTGCAGTGACGGAAGAGTCCTGGTTCCTATGTAGGCTTACCTTACTGGGATGGACAGCTCATTACTGGAGGCCTCTCAAGCCAGTCACTAATTTGTTTACTTATTTCACAAACACTGTTGAACCCTTACCGTGTGCTTTGTGTAGGACACACACAGGTTTTTTTAATGCAGTTCCTGCTCTTAAGATGATCGCTATTGTTTATGGATGGCTACCCTGAATTAATAAAGTAATTTGGTTACAACTATAGTGAAGAGGGGTGTTTGAGGGCCCCAAGAGATATGAGGCAGAGGGTGATTAAGACCACCTGGGAGGGTGGGAATGGGGAATGTCAGGGAAAATTTGCCGTCTAACAAGCTTCTTTAGAACCAACTAAATAAAATGAGACTTCATGGATCTCAATGAACCGGTCTATGCTAAGGTATGTGCTGTCATCTTAAGACTATGTTTCAGAAGGCTTTTGCATGATGTATCAATATCATGTCAATGTGTGTGTTTATACTTGGGATTGGAGTCTTAGCATCAGTATTCAGGAGCCCTCTGGCATAGGACATAAAAGGGTAAGCTATTTTAAAATACTGGTTATATCAGATTCCCAGTTAGCCCAGTCTGCAAACCACAGAGCTCCTGAATGGAAGCTAGCTTTCATACACACTGTTCAGCAGTTAAATAAAGGTATTATTTTGTTTAAAAAAATGCTCTTACTGCCTTGCAGCCACTTGACACCAAACAGAAACTGCCATTTCGGTTGAGACAGGCACCCTGGTGAGCGTTAACTCATTCATTTTGGAATTCTGGTATCTTCGTTGCACTGGTGCCTTGCGAGACCTATGAAAAGTTTAACTTGTAGCTCCCAGAGCCAGCAGTGTGATTACAAAAGCCATCCATCTTTTTTTCATGCTATAACATCTTTAATTCCTCATCCTTCCTGTCCTTCAAGTCCTACTTCAAATGCCACATCATACACAAAACTAATACATCATTTTTCTTTCTTGTATTAGAAATGGCTGTGTATAAAGTATTATGCTCCTTTTATACACTCTGAGCTCTTTTGAGATAGCATGTAAGTCATCTTTATTGCTGTATCCCCTACTTCACTTAGCAGAGTACTTCATTGTTCATTGAATGAAGAAATGGATAGATCAATGATGGATGGACAAATGAATACATAGATATACAGATGATAGGAAAGATGGCAAGTAGCAAATGAAGGAGGCTGTCTGTTGCTGGTTTTCTAAGGTGGTAATATATACCTATTGCTGTTGATTACCAGCCTGATAAACACGCGTGATCAGGAGGAGAAAGTATTTTGGATTGACCATACTTGACACATATGTGTCCTCAGCCTGAAGGGTTATGATAAATAGGAAATAGGTGAGGTTTAGCATGAGATAGTAAAAACAATCTTTATATTTTGTACATAGAACTTAAATAGACTGAGAGAGTTTGTAAAATCTATAGCCTAGTCAGATCTGGACCAATAATATAAAAGTATCTTCTCAATTCGGACAGACTAAATGTTTGTATTTTCTTCACGACTTGAAAAGACTTCAAAATAATGTCCACTTTGTATTGCATGATCAAGAAATATAGTGATTATGGATTTAATATTTTGTACATTTTAAAACTAAACTAATTTCACTCAGTCTTTTGTTCCCTGCCCTCTGATTATGACGCCTGGATAATAGTTTGGGCTTTAGAGTATTACAAAGTCATCACCGTAGCTATTTGAGTAGAAGTAATGGATGTAAGGTCTAGTTAATAAGAATAATAAAAACACTTTTATTTTGTATTGATTTTTCTGATAGGTTTATTTTGGCTTTTGTCTTTTATTTTCCTCACAGCGCGGGAGTTGGCCGGACTGGGTGTTTCATCGTCATAGATGCCATGTTAGAAAGAATAAAGCATGAAAAAACTGTAGATATTTATGGCCATGTAACTTTAATGAGAGCCCAGAGGAATTACATGGTTCAAACAGAAGACCAATACATCTTTATCCATGATGCACTGTTAGAAGCAGTGACTTGTGGAAATACCGAAGTGCCAGCTAGAAACTTGTATGCCTACATTCAGAAGCTGACACAAATAGAAACAGGAGAGAATGTCACAGGAATGGAGCTTGAATTTAAGGTAAGACATTGGATGTGATGTGGTTCTTCAGGAGCACGTCATTCGGGGTTTGTCTTTGAGTTGTTCCTTCGCTTTCTTAACCTTTCAAATTTGTGAAGTACAAAATCAATTTGACCTTTCCCTCAGGTGTCTGATTATAAAACACATCCCTCTCCTTTTCCTCTTTTATTCTTAGCTTCCTAACTACACCTTGAGCCCTTTTGTCTCCTAATTTAAATGAGATTATACTTTCAGAAAATACATAAAAATCCAATAGGCTCTAGGGAGTAATTCGGTAGATGTGAAAAGCAGTACAATTTGAATCGCCATTTACTTTCAACAGAAGATTTCTATCTAAAAGGGACATTTGGGGTACACTGCATTTAAACCATAGTGAAAATGATCTTTGTTGTTTTTTTTCTTTTTTCTATTCAACAGCGTCTAGCCAGCTCAAAAGCTCACACCTCAAGATTTATCAGTGCCAATCTTCCATGTAATAAATTCAAAAATCGCCTTGTTAATATTATGCCATATGAATCCACAAGGGTATGCCTGCAGCCTATCCGTGGAGTAGAAGGATCTGATTACATCAATGCCAGTTTTATTGATGGATACAGGTATCTACTGTTGCTCCTCTGACTATCCAAAGCCTTGATATTTACATGTGCCCTAGTTTTATAACCAGAATAAATTTCATCTCCATTCAAAGCTATTTTTCTGCATCGGTCAGCATTTAGTCCCTTGGTATTTGTTTTTTCTTATTTTGGGTAGGAGTAAGAAGCAATAGTTATGAAGCGTTTAATCTGGCCTTCTGCACTTTTCTTTCGGAAGCCAATTGGATTTCTAAGGAGTTAATAAAGAATCTATTTTGTACCATATTTCAGAAATTTAATAGATTGTGTGAGTAATTTCTAGAAAATGAAGCTGCACATCTAAGTGTTTCTTAAGCGATTTGTATGACACATGAAATTGGGCTATTAGCATTGCACTAAAAATCAAATAATAAAGACATACATCATAATATTAACAAGCAATTTATTTTGTAGAGTCCCCAAAATGTATTAAATGCTCTCATTCGATTATGTAATCTTCGCGGAAATTTACTGCAGTTGCATTCATAATATGTTTTCATTTTTTATTATGAGGTTGATATTTGTATATCAGGTGTGAGCTTTTCCATGTTCTCTAAATACTTTAACACGTTCTTTTCATTCTCTGTAATTCAGACAACAGAAAGCATACATCGCTACCCAGGGGCCCTTGGCAGAGACCACTGAAGACTTCTGGCGGATGCTCTGGGAACACAATTCCACCATCGTTGTGATGCTCACCAAGCTGCGTGAAATGGGCAGAGTAAGTGTGGCCTCCGTAAGACATTCACTCCGTGGAGAAATGAAGACTTTAATAACTCTTTTGCCAGAGTCATTTTTTTTTGACAGTGTACTGTGGACACAATCTAGACCATCCATTATTCCTTGTTAGTTTCTAAATTTCTAAAGCCACGTGAAGTTTTTAAATTTGTGTGTTTTAAAGAAAGATCCCGTGATTTGATTCCAGTGTGGTAAAAGCATAGAGACAAATGAGTAGCAGTTGTCCCTGTTTGACTTATGTCTGACTCTCAACATATTCTTACTTCCTTTTATTCTGGACAGGCTCGAGCCATAAAAAGGCACTTGACTTTTATTCCTGAGGCCAATTCTTACTTGCCTACGTTTCACCCCATTGAATAAAGTGTTGGAAAGTTAGTTTTTCTAAGGATATAATCTGGTAATCCTAGATCCCCTTTTTCTTTTAAATGTGTTTTTTCTTTCTGAAACACACATAAAATAATATTAGAAATACTTAAGGTATCTACTAATACTGCTATACTGTTATGACCTAATATTATTTTGAGACACCTCTTAGATTCACCTGATGTAAGCATTTTTTTGTATTTGCTTCAGATAAATCCTCCCTTTGTGTAAATTTCATAGTAGAAGTGCAGCTAAAGCCCAACTTTCAGAGTCCCCAGAGAGAGCAAAAGGAATATCAGACTAGGAAAGTAACTGACTGACTCTGATGTGGCCACTGACTCTGCAGGGTTTAGCCAAGCCAGTAAAATGGCCTGGGCCCCTGTTTCCTTGACTAGAAAGATTGGCACAAATCAATTCAGAGGTTTCTTTGTGTGTTCAGACTGGTGGTTGTCTTCATTGCAAACCACGGTGGTGCAAGTACGCTGTGGTGGTGCGGTGTATTACTGTCATGGCCAGCACTGTCCAAGGACTGATGTAATTATTTGGATAACTTGTAGGTAGGAAGATGCTTATCCTGTCAAAGTATTCAACTCATGTATATTAAGCAGCTAGTATCTGCCAGCTACTCTGCTGGATGCCATGGGCAAATACTGAACCAAAAGGTTTCCCTATTCTCAGGGAGCTCATGGTTTCAAAGAGAGAGTGAGTCATATGCAATTGGAATTACCTTGAATTTAGAAATGTTATTAATGGGAGAAATAAATCAGATACATAGGTAAATAGGTGGATTCTATACAAAATCTTCTTCATAGCTTGCAAAGTTTAACATTAATCTTCTCTCCTTTTAGGAGAAATGCCACCAATACTGGCCAGCAGAAAGATCTGCAAGATACCAGTACTTTGTTGTGGATCCCATGGCCGAGTACAACATGCCGCAGTATATCCTGAGGGAATTCAAGGTCACAGATGCCAGGGTAAGTTGGCACAGTCTTCAATTCTTAACCATTAGCTGACAAGCAGTGTAAGATACCTCTCTCTCTGGGAGCAGCATTTGCCACTTGACCATTGTCCCAAAGAGAAAAGAAACCACTTTTTCTGGAGAACTTTTTTTTTTTTTTTTTTAATATGTAAGAGTCACATTTCCTCTGTCTGGCAAGCTTTCTCACAAACCTAAGTTTGGCTTTCATTCAAACATAACATCTGGCAGCTCAACCTTGGGGATGCACTTGGTGAGTGTTTGTATTGGGACGCGTTTACTGATTGGTTGGCTGTGCTTAAGTTCACCTTCTCAGCTCATTCTCTTTGGAGCTTTTTTGACTTCTTCATTACTTGAGGCTGTAGATATGTTGTTGTTTTGCAAAGCCCTTTAGGTCATATGGACCCAGAGGTTAATTTGGTATGATTTTGAAACTGCAGAGCAAATGGCATTCTTCAGAAAAATCTGACAAGCTTTGCACATTCTAATGTGATTCCTGGCATGGTTTATTCCTCAGTGTGCTAATGTGTCTGTCCATGAGAGCTGTGCTCCCACGACCCTTGCTGGCTAATTTTCATTCTGCATTTCTTATCTGGATTGTTGAGTCCAAGGTTCAGCCCTGATGTAAGATATTCTGTGCATAAACTCTAATATCTTTGCCTTTGGCCACTTTCAACCCATGATTACAAACACAGCTTAAGGGAGACCAGGTCAGTTAAAAGACCTGCCTTGTGTTTGGAACTGTCATAGTGGATGGGTTGAATAAAACTCCTGGGTAGAGCTATTTACTTGATCCATTGTTTTTCCTGGAAAGCAGCTTTCTCCAAACTTATGGTTGGAGACAGTCTGCTAATCCCCAAATCCTGGCCCTGGCTGTTGACCTTAAGAGAAAGAGAAATTGCTAACCTTAAGTTAGCAGGAGGGACGGCCTTGGTGACAGACCTGTTAATCTCAGAAAGTCCTGTTAACTATTTTGAAGGTGACTGCATTCAAGGCAGCAGTTAAGTCTCTTGGTCTCCAGTGTGAGTTGCCCAGGCAAGCAAGCCTTGGTGATCTGCCCCACTGGAAAAAAAGAAAATCAAACTCTTTCAGAATTTGAAGCTATGTATGTGAGTGAAAATAGTAAGCAGATTTTGAGCAAACTTACCAACTGATCCTGGTGATAAAGACAAGGGACCAGGCCCCACCAATGGCAGAGATGCCTTACTCTACACATGCTCAACTTAAATCTGATCACAGAAAACAAAAGAAAGTTGAAAGTGGAACTTGCTCACATTTATTTTTTTAAGTCTCCCTGTGATTGTATAATTTTCTTAGCTACCACATTTGCTGTTTGTGCTCCTGGAGTGTTTCTAATCTCAACTTCCCAGTTTAGAACGCAAACTGGAACTTGAGAATACAGTATTTCGATGTTGTTATTGTTGCTGTTGTCTTCTCCTTTTCTAAAGAAATTATACTTTAAGCTCTGGGATACAAGTGCAGAACGCGCTGGTTTGTTACATAGGTATACACGTCCCATGGCGGTTTGCTGAACCTATAAGCCTGTCATCTATATTAGGTATTTCTCCTGTTATCCCTCCCCTAGCCCCCACACCCTAACAGGTCCTAGTGTGTGGTGTTCCCCTCCCTGTGTCCATGTGTTCTCATTGTTCAACTCCCACTTATGAGTGAGAAGATGCGGTGTTTGGTTTTCTGTTCTAGTTTGCTCAGAATGATGGTTTCCAGCTTCATCTGTGTTCCTGGAAAGGACAGGAACTCATTCTTTTTTATGGCTGCATAGTATTCCCTGGTGTATATGTGCCACCTTTTCTTTATCCAGTCTATCATTGATGGGCGTTTTTGTTGGTTCCGAGTCTTTGCTATTGTGAACAGTGCCACAATAAACAGACGTGTGCATGTGTCTTTATAGTAGAATGATTTATAATCCTTTGGGTATTTACCCAGTAATGGAATTACTGGGTCAAATGGTATTTCTGGTTCTAGATCCTTAAGGAATGCCAAACTGCCTTCCACAATGATTGAACTAATTTACACTCTCACCAACAGTGTAAAAGCCTTCTATTTCTCTACATCTTCTCCAGCATCTGTTATTTCCTGACTTTTTAATGATCACCGATAGTGAGCTTTTTGTCATATGTTTGTTGATCACATAAATTGTTCTTTTGAGAAGTCTCTGTTCATATCCTTTGCCCGCTTTTTGATGGGGTTATTTTTTTCCTTTAAATTCGTTTAAGTTCTTTGTAGATTCTGAATATTAGGCCTTTGTCAGATGAACAGATTGCAAAAAATTTCTCCCCCCCTGATGATTTTCTTTTGCTGTGTAGAAGCTCTTTAGTTTAATTAGATCCCAATTGTCAGTTGGGGGTTTTGTTGCCATTGCTTTGGGTGTTACAGTCATGAAGTCTTTGATCATGCTTATGTCCTGAATGGTGTTGTCTAGGTTTTCTTCTAGGGTTTTTATGGTTTCAGGTCTTACATTGAAGTCTTTAATCCATCTTGAGTTGATTTTTGTGTAAGGTGTAAGGAAGGGATCCAGTTTCAGTTTCCTGTATATGACTAGCTAGTTTTCCTAACACCATTTATTAATCAGGGAACCCTTTCCCCATTGCTTATTTTTGTCAGGTTTGTCAAAGATCAGTTGGTTGTAGATGTGTGGCATTATTTCTCAGGCCTCTGTTCTGTTCTATTGGTCTGTATATCTGGTTTTGCAGTAGTATCATGTTGTTGTGGTTACTGTAGCCTTGTAGTATCATTTGAAGTCAGGTGGCATGATGCTTCCAACCTTTTTCTTTTTGCTTAGGATCGTCTTGGCTATACAGGCTCTATTTTGGTTCCATAGGAAATTTAAAGTCATGTTTTCTAATTCTGTGAAGAAAGTGAATGGTAGCTTGATGGGGATAGCATTGAATCTCTAAATTACTTTGGGCATTATGGCCATTTTCATGCTATTGAGTCTTCCTATCCATGAGCATGGAAGTTTGTCCATTTGTTTGTGTCCTCTCTTATTTCCATGACCAATGGTTTATAGTACTCCTTGAAGAGGTCCTTCACATCCTTTATTAGTTGTCCCCTAGGTATTTTATTCTCCTTGTAGCAACTGTGAATGGGAGTTCACTCAATATTTGTCTGTTTATCTGCTATTTGGTGTAGAGGAATGCTTGTGATTTCTGCACATCGATTTTGTATCCTGAGACTTTGCTGAAGTTGCTTTTCAGCTTAAGGAGATTTTGGGCTGAGACCATGGGGGTCTTCTAAATATACAAGCATGTTGTCTGCCAATAGAGACAATTTGACTTCCTCCTTTCCTAATTGAATACCCTTTATTTCTTTTTCTTGCCTGATTGCCCTAGCCAGAACTTATAATACTATATTGAATAGGAGTGGTGAGAGAGGGTATCCTTGTCTTGTGCCTGTTTTCAAAGGGAATGCTTCCAGCTTTTGCCCATTCAGTATGATATTGTCTGTGGGTTTGTCGTGAATAGCTCTTATGATTTTGAGATACATTCCATCAGTATGTAGTTTATTGAGAGTTTTCAGCATGAAGAGATGTTAAATTTTATCAAAGGCCTTTTCTGCAAAAACTATTGAGATAATCATGTGGTATTTGTCATTGGTTCTGTTTATGTGATGGATTACGTTTATTGATTTGCATATATTGAACCAGCCTTGCATCCCAGGGATGAAAACGACTTCATCGTGGTGGATAAGCTTTTTTGATGTGCCGCTATATTCAGTTTGCCAGTATTTTAATGAGAATTTTCACACTGATTTCATGAGGGATATTGGCCTGAAATTTTCTTTTTTGTGTCTCTGCTAGGTTTTGGTATCTGGATGATGCTGTTCTCATAAAATGAGTAGGGAGGGGGTTCCTCCTTTTCTATTGTTTGGAATAGTTTCAGAAGGAAAGGTATCAGGCTCCTCTTTGTATCTCTGGTAGAATTTGGCTGTGATTCTTTCTTGTCCTGGGCTTTTTTTTTTTCTGGTTGGGAGTATATTAATTACTGCCTCAATTTCAGAACTTGTTATTTGCCTATTTAGAGATTTGACTTCTTCCTGGTTTAGTGTTGGGAGGGCGTATGTGTCTAGGAATTTATCCATATAGTCTAGTTTATTTGCATAGAGATGTTTATCGTATTCTCTGATGGTAGTTTGTATTTCTGTGGGATCAGTGGTGGTATATCCCCTTGGTCATTTATTATTTCTATTTGATTCTTCTCTCTTTTCTTCTTTATTAGTCTGGCTAGTGGTATAGCTATTTTATTAATCTTTTCAAAAAACCACCTCCTAGATGTATTGATTTTTTGAAGGGTTTTTAGTGTCTCTAGCTCCTTCAGTTCTGCTCTGATCTTATTTCTTGTTTTCTGCTAACTTTGAATTTGTTTGCTTCTCTAGTTCTTTCAATGGTGATGTTAGGGTGTTGATTTTAGCTCTTTCCCACTTTTCCTGTGGACATTTAGTGCTATAAATTTCCTTCTAAACACTGCTTTAGCTGTGTCCCAGAGATTCTGGTACATTGTGTCTTTGTTCTCATTGGTTTCAAAGAACTCAATGATTTCTGCCTTAATTTTAATTGCCCAGTAGGCATTCAGGAGCAAGTTGTTCCGTTTCCATGTAGTTGTACGGTTTTGAGTTTCTTAATCCGGAGTTCTGATTTGATTGCAGTGTGGTCTGAGAGAATGCTTGTTCTGATTTCCATTATTTTGCATTTGCTGAAGAGCGTTTGTTTTACTTCCAATTACGTGGTGGCCAATTTTAAAATAAATGCAATGTGGTGCTGAGAGGAATGTATATTCTGTGGATTTGGGGTGGAGAGTTCTTTAGATATCTGTTGTTAGGTCTGCTTGGTCCAGGGTTGAGTTCAAATCCTGAATATCCTTGTTCATTTTGTCTCATTGATCTAATATTGACATTGGGGTGTTAGACTCCCACACAATAATAATGAGAGACTTTAACTGTCTTTATAGGTCTCTAAAAACTTGCTTCATGAATCTGGGTGCTCCTGTGTATTGGGTGCATAAAAATTTAGCGTTGTTAGCTCTTCTTGTTACATTGATATCTTTACCACTATGTAATGCCCTTCCTTGTCTTTTTTGATCTTTGTTGGTTTAAGGTCTGTTTTATCAGAGTAGAATTGTAACCCTGGCTTTTGTTTTGTTTTGTTTTGTTTTTTGCTTTCTATTTCCTTGGTAAATACTCTTTTTTTCTGAGCCTATATGTGTCTTTGCATGTGAGATGGGTCTTGACTTTATCCAGTTTACCAGTCTGTGTCTTTTAATTGGAATATTTAGTCCATTTACATTTAAGGTTAATATTCTTATGTACGAATTTGATCCTGTCATTACGATACTACTGGGTATTTTGCTTGTGAGTGAGTTGATGCAGTTTCTTCACAATGTCAGTAGTCTTTACAATTGGGTATGTTTTTGCAGTGGCTGGTACTGGTTTTTTCCTTTCCATATTTAGTGCTTTCTTCAGGAGCTCTTGTAAGGCAGGCCTGGTGGTGACAAAATCTCTTGGTATTTGCTTGTCTATTGAGGATTTTATTTCTCCGTCACTTAGGAAGCTTAGTTTGACTGGATATGAAATTCTGTGTTGAAAATTACAGTATTGTTAAGCAGGTGACCTTTAAACAAAGTCAGGTGATCTTTTCTCCAGATAGAAGGCATTTGCACACATAACAGCAACTGTAGTCAGAAATGAAATCCCCAGGACATTCAGAGAATAAATCTGCATTACCTAGCCTCTGGCTCTCCTTCCTGTGCTTTCCAAATCTTTTCCAGCAATGGAGGGAAGTAAATCATGCTTCCTTGGTAATCATCCACAAGGGTAGCTATGGGCTCAAGTAGTTTTCTCTATTTCTCAGTGTTCCCGCAAAGTTAGTGTTATTCCTATGTGCATCTCCAAATAATGTCAGTGAGGAATCTGCCATGTGCCTTTGAAAACCACCAGGGAAGTTGATGAGTGCCCATCTCATGTTAAGACCCTCTCTTTTCTCAATATGAGTGAATGACCGGGGAAGATGTGTTAGTTAACAAAAACAGAGAGGAGGAACAAGTTGAAGCCTCTTTAATGAGAAGAGAGCATTTGGGAGTACGACCTCTTCAAATGAGATCAGTCCCTCTAGGCTTGGATTATTTGTCTCTGCTGATGATCAGAAGAGAAGGTTGGTGGGCACATGTATTATTCCTGTTTCTATAAACAGAGGCTCCCTTCTGCTTTCCTTATGTGTCTGGAAACACCTTAAAATTCCAGAAGAAATGCCTTAGTGGCTTTTCAACCCATGTAAACTTCATGAGTCAGAGTAGTTTTACCTAATCGCTCTGTAAAAGAAAGACAGACTCCTCTTGCATCTGGCTTTGTTTTTATTTCTGCCTTTTGGTTTATCTGTGTTGCAGCCCCTCACAGACTGCCAATTCCTGTGGTCAGCCAAGGAGAGTTCTTTTTCAGAAAAGGGCATTTGTTTGCTAATAGTCCTTGAGGGATGCTTTACTTCACACTTAACAGCACAGTCACATGGTTCATGCTATGTCCCCTGCCACGGCTAGAAATTGTATTCCCCTGAGACATGGGGGGCACCTAGGTTAACAGCAACTACTGGGTTTGTGTCAGATCTTTAAATGTCACTATTTGTCATTTGACAATGTTAGAAATACGCAAGCACAGCAGATGTGAAGTTATCATAACAGCTGCAAAAGCTCTAGTCTGGATGACATGCCTGGGTACGCCTTTCAATGTGACAAAGTGATTAGATTATGAAATTTTTGAAATGGAGTATATATATACATATGTATGTTCCATTTGGAAGGAATGCAAACATGATCAATGGTTACAAACCCAAACTTTGGGTTGCAGAAGCATTTGCTAATAGGGGAACTATGTGGCTGTTTACTAATGGAGAACCAGGTTTTTTTGTGATGCAAAGGTATGTGAATGTGGACAGTGTTCATAACAGATAAGACAGACACAAATAAGTTTGTAGTTAAAAATGTTCCTAACTAACTTTTTCTGCCCTTTTATTTCTTGGGGGGAAAATGATTGATTGTTCCTGTGGTCTGTGCACTTCTAACCCCTCCTGGCATCTTCATTTGTGGCCGGGTATGTGGCTTTCCTTCCAAAGGACGGCCAGTCCCGAACAGTAAGGCAGTTCCAGTTCACTGACTGGCCAGAGCAAGGAGTGCCAAAGTCCGGAGAAGGATTTATTGACTTCATCGGCCAAGTCCATAAAACAAAAGAGCAGTTTGGCCAAGATGGACCCATTTCAGTCCATTGCAGGTAAGTTACAATTCAAGAATGGTGACATTCCATTTGTGATTAAAGCAGTGATAACTGTGAAAATAATCAAAGGAAAATGTTTATTCCCAAAATTTGCTTCCTATTACACAAACCAAATTACCAATTTTACGTTAACAGGAATTGTTGGTACCCCCCCCAGTAATAATTTGTTCTGTTATGCATTTTGTATTTGCTTTAGCTTTCATAGCAATGCACTGATGACTATCTTTGTGGGAAACCCGTGAATAGCTATCAAACCTTAATGACAATACTAATTTTTGCCAGTCAATAAGTGCTTCCTATGGTACCTCAGTTAAAAATGCAATTTGCTTGAAAATTCTTGCTATGTCAGAAAACAAAGCACCTTCAAGTTAATTATTTTCAATAGTTACTAGAGCACTTTATATTCAATTCATTGATGTTAATAGAAATAGCAAGTAAATGGTTCAGACATTCATTCATCACAAATTTAGTGTTTTTGGAAATTGCTATGCCAAAACCTTCTAAACAAAAAGAATTCACCTACGTTTATTTAAACAAAAAATATTGAAAAAAATTTTTTTTCCTTTGGCACATCAAAAGTATAGTTCTTAATGACATAGAAGGCAGAATCTCAAGATGTCTGTATTCCAGTCTTAATCCTATTATTTAGCTTAATGGACGTCAGTTATCTTACCTGATGTTTAAAGTTCCTTCCGGCATCCTTTGTTTCTCAGGCATATTATATCATATGAAAAATGAGTTATTAAAAATATTTTGCAAACTAACCAAAGAGCATGGAGGAAATCACACAAGGAATCAAATAAGGGCATACCTCAAAAATAGTATGGGGGTTTAGTTCCAGACCACCACAGTAAGGGACATCACATACATTTTTTGGTTTCCCATTTCATACAGTGTGCAATAGCATTGTATCTAAACAACAATGTACCCTACCTTAATTTAAAAACTATTTTATTGCTAAAAAATGCTTACCATCCTCTGAGCCTCTGATTTTCTTTTGCTGGTGGAGGTGGAGGGTGTTGTCTTGATGTTGATGGCTGTTGACCAATCAGGGTAGTGGTTTCTGAAGGGTGAGGTGGCTTGTAGCAATTTCTTAAAAGAAGATAATGATGAAGTTTGCCCCTTCACGTGACTCTTTTTCAAGAGCCTTCTCTGCAGCATGAAATGTTGTCTCATAGCAGTTTTCCCACAGTAAAACTTCTTTCAAAATTAGTCATTCCTCTGCAACCTTGCTGCTTTTCTCTTCTTTATACACTATTCTAAATCTTTGGTTATTTCCAGTATTCACACCATCCTCACCATCAGTACATTCCATCCTGACAAACCACTTTCTTTGCTTGTCTATAAGAAGCAGAAGCAACTCCTCATGTATTCAAGTTTTACCATGAGGCTGCAGCAGTTCACTCACAGCTTCACGCTCCATGCTCCACTTCTAATTCTCTTGCTATTCTACCATGGTTGCAGTTTCTTCCTCCACTGAAGTCTTGAATCCCTCAAAGTCATCCGTGAGATCAGAATCAACGTCTTCCAAACTCCTGTTAACGGCAGATAAAATGGTAAATTATTTCCAGGAAATTTTCAGTTTACTTTGCCCAGGCCCATCAGAGAAATCACTATCTATAGAAGGAATAGCCTTATAAAATGTAGTTCTTAAATGAAACTTGAACGTTGAAATTCCTCCTTGATCCATTGGGCTGCAGAATGAGTATTGTGCTCACAGGCATGAAAACATATCTCCTTGTACATTCCATTAGAGCTCTTGGGTGACAACATATGTTGTCAATGAGCAGTAATATCTTGAAAAGAATCTCTTATTCTGAGCAGTAGGTCTCAAGAGTGGCCTCAAAATACTCAGTAAACCATGCTGTAAACAGACATATTGTCATCCATGCTTTCTTGTTCCATTTATGGAACTGGACTATTTAGTACAAGAAGTCTAGCTTTCAGCCTGTCTTGATGTTTGATGTGCCTTCCTTATTATTTCAAGCTTTTGACTTAAAGTGAGGGATGTATAACTCCTCTTACCTTCACTTGAATATGTTTATTGTAAATTGTCAAGAGCCCTAGGATTTTCAAAACAGTAAATGAGCTTTGGCTTCATCTTAATGTCACCAGCTACATTACCCCGTAACGAGAGAGTCAGCCTGTTCTTTGAGTTCTGAAGCTAGGTATTGATGACTCCTCTGTAGCTCTGGAAGTCTTAGATGGCCACTTCATCTAATAGAATGCTGTTCATCCACATTAAAGAGCTGTTGTTTAATGTAGCCACCTTCATCAATGATCTTACCTAGATCTTCTGGATAACTTGCTGTAGCTTCCATAACAGCACTTGTTGCTTCCCCTCACACTTTTATGTTATAGGGTTGGCTTCCTTCCTTCATCCTCCCAAGCTAACCTCTGCTAACTTCAAACTTTTCTTCTGCAGCCTCCTCACCTCATCATTCGTACAATCAAGGACACTTAGGTCCTTGCACTGGCCTAGGCTTGGATTTAAGGGAATGTTGTAAACGGTTTGATCTTCTATCCATACCTTTAAAACTTTCTTTGTATCAGCAGAAAAGCTGTTCTACTTCCTTATCCTTCCTGTGTTCACTGGAGTAGCACTTTTCATTTCCTTCAAGAACTTTGCACTCACAACGAGGCTGTTTGATGCAAGAGGCCTGAGGAGAAAAAGACAGATGGGGAAACCGCTGATTGGCGGAGCAGTCATCACACACGCGATTATCAATAAATGTTCGTTGTCTTATGGTCATGGTTCATGGCACTCCAAACCAATTACAGTGGTAACATCAACGATCATTGATCACAGATCACTATAACAGATACAGTAATAATGAAACAATTTGACATATGGCAAGAATTACCAAAATGCCACACAGAGACACAAACTGAGTATGTGCTGGTGGAAAAATGGCACCAATATAGTTCTTCAGTGAAAGATTGACGCAGACATTATCTGCAAAGCTTAATAAGGTAGAGCACAATACAACAATGTACGTCTGTATTTAGGCAAACTAGATGCTTTCTATTGGGACTGAATTGCCTGGATATTTCTTTTGTCTTTACTCATAATTTGCCCAAATGCTAATTTGACCTTTTCTAATATAATCTCTTAGGAAAAGAGTATCTTTAATTTAATACTATCTATTCTTAGCTGTAGGCATCCTCATATGTATAGGTACACCAATGTGTTTTTGCGTGTGTGTTCTCATTGCTTTTATCATCATAAAATGATTTAAATTTCCCTTTAGTATCATGCTATGACTTGTGATTCATATACCTATATATGTATCCATAGAACACTTCTGAAAATACTTTTCTTATTTACAACTTGTTAAACTAAGATGATAAAATCAATAAATCTAAAACCTGTAAGTCCAGTATCCATTCTTTTGTTGAAAATACTTAGTACAAAGACAGAAACCCAATGTTTTTGTTACATTCGAGTTATCAAATCATGCTAAGATAGGCTCTAGAGTACCCAGACCATTCAACAAAGAGATTAGAAATCTCAGTTTCTCACAACTAGAAGACTTTCAAGGTTAAAAGAGACCTTCAAGGTCATTTGTTTCATCTTAACAAAAGGCTTCACGGCTGCTGGACATCTTAAATCACTTCTTAAAGACTGTCTGCGCATGGATTTTAAAGGCTCACTTAACATTTCTGTTTAGACTGTAGAAATCCCGTTTATAAAGGGACACACTATTTATATATGCCTGTCAGCCACATCCTCCAGTAAATGAATCCATCTATTTTCTACAGCCCATGCCCAAGTGTTACACATGCTGTTTAATTTGGATCCAGAAATATAGGGATTTTTCACATTATTCACTGTATTCCGCATTACCTCAACTTCCAGATGCTTTCCTACTTAAATGCACAAAAGCTATGAATTGGTTTTCTTTCTTGCCGATGTGAAGATTCTGGAGTTATCTTAAAACAGTTAAGACAGCAGAGAGAAACTCAACACCTTTCTAATGTGGTAGAAAGGTTCTGAGGGTTTCAGTTGCTGATCATGTAAAAATGGTAGGTAAGTTTAGAGATCTAATCTTAAAAAAAAACCATTGTTTTTTAAGATTAGTTACCCCTGTGAGAATCTGTTGAAAGTTGTTAAGTCTCAAGAAATAAGAAAGCAATGTAGTAATTACTTCATCTGTACATACACTTATAGGATAATCATAAACTCTCCTGAAGACAGAGGGAAAATCACACACACATATACGCTGTTATAGAATCTTTCTCATAATAAAACCAATATGAACATTTGAATAGTTATAAACAAATATGTCTAGGTTATGGGGCATCACGTACATATTTTAGGTAACTATAAAAAGTGAATAAAGTGCTAGAAAAGTTCATGCCAAATTCATTCACCTTGGTCTGAATTATTTCATACTTTAAAGACGTTAAGGAGGCAAGTTCTGAATTTTAGAAGCTCCATGAATTATATGAAGCTGTATGTTGTTTACCCTTTCTTTTTTCATTTGTTATGTTTCCTTGGTCTTTCTAAAATGGTATAAGTCCCTATTGAAAAGACTTTTATCAGACTTACTCCTAATCAGACTTACTGCTCATGCTGTTATAACTCACTATCCCAAGAGTAATCATTTGGTGAATACTATGCCACATTTTCCTGAACATTCTGCTACCAGCTTCCAAATTCCATGCTGTGGAGAAACGTGGAACGTGGAAGCCAGTAGCAGTATGTCCACCCCCAAGCAAATGTGGCCAAGACGGTGCGCACCTCACCCAGTAACAATGCTTTTGTTATTGTGGCAGCGCTGGCGTGGGAAGAACTGGAGTCTTCATAACACTAAGCATTGTTTTGGAAAGAATGAGATATGAAGGAGTCGTAGATATCTTCCAGACTGTCAAAATGTTAAGAACACAACGGCCAGCCATGGTACAGACAGAGGTGAGAAAATCCATTGCATTTTTCACATCTCGGAAGCCTCCGTTTTGCTAGCCAGGACCTCCTGGAACCCAGACTCTCTCAACACCAGACAATACATACCGTGGGGCAAGCATCAAACTGTTTAATAATTTTGAACCTCATTTCCTCCCTTTTTTAAATGGGGTGAGATTATCAATGTCTTAGTGTTGCCACAGAAATTATGTGAGATTCTATGTTAGATTGAGCTATATTAAATTTCACTGTTGGACCATTTTTTACCAGTAAAATGGCAATTTCACAAAATTCATCATATTCATATTCCTATAGTATACAATTTATATACAAATATATAGAAAGCATAATGTTTAGTACATAATATAATCTCAGTCCATTTAACTTCTTCATTCTCCCTTTGTATGCCTACAGAGGTATCAGCAGCTCTATATTGCATGTCTTAACAATGACCGTTCAAAACATTTTGATTCTATTTGTCCCTCATTTGATATGCCAATAATTAATACGGAAATTTAGATATTTCTCATCATGATATGAGTTCATGATTGAGCCAGCCTGGTCTCTTGAGCATTCATATCTAAAGATAATATTACTGACGATAGAGTTTATGTTCTGCAGAAGGCCACCAAATTCTACAATTTATATGTGCTCCTCAATTTATCATCCACAGTATCTGCCAAACATTGATTTCAAACCAGTGCAACTATTTGACTTGCAATACTCAAAACATTGTGTCAGCCTGACAAACTTAACGGGTCTTGGGGGTGACAGAAGGAAACTGGACATTTAAAAAGCCTTAACACTTAGGCAAGCAACTTACTGTGACAAGACAGGAAAGTAAACACCATTTATTTTGCATTGTACGAAAATGCACATTTAAGCAAAATAGAAACTATCTACTTTCAGCCCGATTGGCTACTGAAAATAGGTTTCTTTTATGGGGAAAAAGCCTACTTTTTCTCATCCCTAAAGAGATCTATAAACCATCTTTTTCCATCTCTCCAACAATACTTTGACTTATTCCAGTATAATAGTGTTCTTGTCTGAAAAAGGCCATGTTTCGTCATGTTTTGTTTTAGTGTGTGCCTTTCTGAAACAGACAGCTAGCAATCACACAGAATTGAGCTGAATTCACAGGTATTTTTGGATGTGGGCAGCCAATCTTGTGATGCCATTTTCAGGGATGAAAAGCTTGGCAGTCCAGTGCCCTGTGTAAATGGACTTGTGTGCCGCACCAGCTACCTTTTGGCTGTCTCTCTCACTTACATATGAACATCGTAAACGACTGTGAGGGATTCTCAGTGCAGGCTCTACTGTCCAATCGTGTTTTTCCTTAATTCAAAATTCTGCTGGCAGTAGCTCAGAAGATAAATCCAGATTTTTTCTCAGGGCAGCTTGTCCGGAGAAATAGTTAAACAGAATAATTTATCACAAATATTAAACATTTTAAATATTTAAACTGAGAATTAGTTAACACAAATAAGCAGATAATTGTAAAAGATGACTTTGATCATTAACTGCTTATAAGGCACGTAAGAACTTTATGTGTTCAGTTGGTGGTCATTTTGTGCTACTACTTAGAAAACACTTGTCTGGGAAGGTAACGTTCACTCAACCTACCACTGCTTGGAATTGAGAGATAATTTTAGTCAAATTGATCGGTACGTTAATAAACACCCCATGTGGCTACTTTTTCTTTCTTCGTTCACTGTAATGAGCTGGTCATAGGATGAAATCGATTGACGAAAGTACTGATTTTGCCCCTATATAGATGTAATTTTGTTATCCAATATTGACGTTTATTTTTCTATTAAAGTATACTCATGGTCCCTTCTTCTGTTTCTCCCCATTCCTTGTCTCCTACAGGATCAGTATCAGTTTTGCTATCGAGCCGCACTAGAGTACCTGGGCAGCTTTGACCACTATGCAACGTAGAAACCCCTGACCCATTCCGGATTTTTACTACAGGCCCTTCAATATCCATGGAGTCTCCTCTGAGCCATACAGGGCACTTGAGAAGTCCTTCTTAACTTCTAGCTAACAACTACTTAGTGGGACTATTACACACAAAACAAATTAAAAACAAATTATTACAGGTGGACCAAGAATTCACAGTTTAATAATCTAACCTGAATAATTATGGAGAGAATCCTGACTGATGAGGCATCTGAAGGATTTTATTTACAGATACCTCAAGGATTCAAAATCAAGGGAAGAAGACATCACAGCAAAGAACCACCATCTTATTCAGGATTGCTTGAAAGGCGCAAGGAGAAATTGCCAGAAGGCTGCAGTTTGGCTCAAGATGGTGCCAGTGTGGCTTCTCACAATGAAATGGACTCTGCTTTGACATCACCCCTTCCCACCATACAGCTCATAATAACATTTTAGGGGGAAAGTGGGGGGGGGATGTTTAAGAAGAAAGTCCTTGATTTAGTTTTTTAGTATTGTAAAGATACTGCTGACCTGTGCTTCATTTCTAACTGTGTAAACTTTTTTTTAACAAAATGTATCATTCGATAAAGTGAATTTTAAAAAAGTGACATAACTTCATTTTTTATTTCCAAATCGTAGGTTTTTTTAAGCTGTAGAACTGTTATCTGTAATATCTTGCTGTAGAAATCTCAAATAATTTGAAAATTTGCACATTTTTGTGCAATACTCAATCTACAGTATCAGTCTCGTCAGATATATTACTTTTACACTTCTGTTCTGTTTTGATTGGTGAGAACGTACCCATTCTCTTCAAATAAAGAGAATTATTATTTTGTTTTGTTTTTGGAATCAACAGGGAGGCGCAAAGTATAAAGTTGCTGCTAACATATATACATATATATCCATATTTTATACGGGTGTCTATGTATATATAGACAGTTTGTCCACACAAAAAGTAGATACAGCTATCAGTCAGTTCTTCCATTATTTGGTTTTTTTTAAACGTAAAAAAGCTATTGTAAACATCTCTTTCCATTTATTCTTAATTTTATGACACATTGGTATTTCTTACTATCACAAAACTTTCATTTTTTTAAGGGAAACGAGGAATGCACATCAGTGATTGTCAAACCTCACCCCCTAACTTCCTACCCAATCTGCCCCCCACCCACCCAATCATATTCACAAATTCTGTTTCGTTAGCCAGGCTTCCAACAAAGTTCAATATTTCTAACACTCTAGTGCAATAAAAATTATTAAATAGCTAAGAGGTGTGCATGTGGGAAAGGTCAGTGCATATCCCTTTAGGAGGGGAGAATGTTGTAATATATCAGCCTATCAAGTTGTTTAAAAAAAGTGTATTCAATCGTATATTGTCTATAGTATGTGCTATGAAATTTGCATTTATGATATGTAACAGGGGCAAAGCCAAATTCATGTTACTCTGTTCAGTCAGAAACATTTTGTGGCATACAGCATTCCTGGGAAGTGCTGTACTTTGTTTCGTTTTGGTTTTAGTTTTGCATTTAGAGTGCCTTATAATTGATGCCTATTTTAATAGCATTTCCTTTGAGCTTTTGGTTCGTATTTCCATTCACTGTTTGTATCTGTTACTCTTTCTATTAAAGCATTATCTGTTTACCACATGTACAAAAACTCTTTGAATAATATGCATTCCTAGTTTTCAGCCAAGTCGGGGATGTTAGTGATTGTACCAGCCCAAAGCACTTGGATAATCAGGGCCCTTCTTCCTTTTATAATTGTCAACATCAGAAAAAGCTACTTGTTTTATTTATATTCCCTTCCAAATCTGCTCTGGAACATGCAGTAACTGCACCAAACTTATTTTAGTAACAAGTGTCATTGGCAACTTTGGAATATATTTGATATTCCATTAGGATTTTTCTAAAAGGGGAAATAAACCACATATATATATATATATATATATATATATATCTCCCCCAATTCTTCCAACATAATTTCTATAGGAAGCCATGGATGATGGCATGAGTTTGCCACATTTTACATGATTTTAAATAATCCTCAAAATATCCAAGGAACTCTTAAAGAGTTTTGGTATGAGTATACTACTTTGGTTTAATTTTAGCTTCATAGATGTTCTGCATGGAAGGATTTTTATTTTCCACATTTTCCCATTGCTAGCAGAATGAAATCCAAGAGACCAAACACTTGCAAGCATTGTATTTGAGCACTTTTGTAAAAAACAAAGAAAAAGAAAAAGAAAAAAAAGAAAAAGAAAATATATATAATACTAAAAAAAAAGTATCTAGAAGGCTACCTCAGAATGAGACTCTCTAACCTACATCAGAACCAGAGAAGAATGTGCACTATGTGGGTCTGTTATCCTTTTCTTTTAGTTTGTATCTTTTGGAGATTTATCCAAGTGCCAGATTACTCAGTGCTATACTTTTCTTTAAGTTAAACAAAGGGGGTCAGACAGACATTGCCTCATCTAGACATGCCTTGTTGGACATGTAGAATCTGATGGAGCATTGCACACCAGAAATGATTGGCCAATGAGCAGCTTCTCTCCCTGAAACAAAAACTGCCCATTTGGCAAAGGGAAAGATGACAATAATCAGAAGAAGAAAATGAATGGGATGCATACTGTAGACGAACGAGGCGGAGACTTGCAGGAATCTTACTGTTCAGGAGCTGTTCCTAGAACTAACTCCCTTACTGTCATTGATGTGCATTCCACTCTGTGCTTTTCTGTACAACCATTCGAGTTTTAATTTCCCAGGTAAACATCTTTATCTGCCATTACCACAAGCTTTCAAGTTTCCAGTTATTTTCATCATCATAACCAGTACGGTGCTATTATTTACCTATGTACGTGTAGTTATGTATAATTTTGTAATTAGTTACAATGGTAAAAAAAAAATCAAAATATATAAAAAGTGATTTGTACAGAACTTTATTTTAGCTCTTTTTTAAAAATGATTTGCATGGTTAGACAACGGCGAGGACAGCCAGGGGAGGGAAGGGCCTCTAGGGAACTTTGCACTTTCTATACCTTTGTACTATGCACTGCCCTATTGATTCTACACCCAATAATGATATTACTTGAACCCATCTGTAAGAAACTGCTTCGGAAATTCATTTGTGTGTATGTAAATAACACGACATAGAAACAGGAAGGGAAAAAATGCACGTATTTTTTTCTTTCCTGTTTATTTTCAGTTTTGCTTCAAGTCCTTCCTTTTATTTCTAATCCCCTTTTTGTTTTTCTTTTTGGGTTTTGGTTCCTTTTGGGTTTATGGGTGCCCTGATACTCCAGCAGAGATCAGAAGGCTACAGATCCATTCTATCCATCCGTTATGTGGCTTTGCCATCCCAGCTTGGAGTGTCTTTACAAAGATAATAACAGTTGTGTTCTTTGCTCTCGTTTTGGATGCATAGACTGAAAAACTTAAAAAAATAACTTGTAAAATGGCTTGTTAAAAAAATACAATTACCTCTAATTAGTAGTACGCGTAAATGTTTTACAGAATGAAAGGCGTGCTTTTTATTTTCTTACTTCGTTACATTGGTGGCGAAAGAAGTCTGTATGAAAATCAGTTCTTTGCTGACACAAGTTCCATTTGTTACAAATGAATTCTAATAAAAATGTCAGTGTTATGCAGCCCTGGCCTTTGCTTTTGTCCATGCAAGCACTTTGGTTTTGAACTGAGTATATGTTCTCTCTTCTCTTCTGGTTATCTAGTTAGTTCCTTGTACTAGTAACATTTCTGCTTACCGAGAGACTACTGTTCACAAATATCTACCCTGAGGAAAGCACTTTTCACTGGCAAGCCAACACTCAGAGAAATAGATTTTTTCCAAGTTCACAGAGCAAAGAAAGAGGATTGTTTTCATTCATATCAGAGATCATGGGCAATCTTTAGATCTGTGGAAGATGACTATATAGAAATTTAAGTGCACAACTATATGTACATCTGTATGTACGTATGTATTTTCACCTTGAATTAACTTTCAAGCACATAAAAATAGCTCCATAGAGTTAACTTATTAATAACTTTGGGAACATGGCTAAGAAAATACTTGATTTGGGTTATTTATTCTGTCATTCAATATTATCAAGTACCAATAATGGGTCAGAATAGTTCTAGGTATTGGAAGCGCAGCTCTGAACAAATGACATGCTGCTGCTGTTTGCGTACAGACTACAGCCTACTGAGAGAGGTTGGCCCTGAAGTGATAGTAACATCACATTGGACCAGTGCTATGAAGCAATGTGTAGGATCCTTGAAGTTAGGACTTTCAGTTGTCAGTGACAGAAAGTCTGACTGAAATTGGCCTACAGGAAAAGAAAGGTGTTTACTGACTTGTATACTAAAAGATAAGGAATGGACTCATACTAAAAGAGTAGAAATACATCATCTTCAAGCATAACTGGATTCAGGGCTCAGGTGATGCCTTCAGGACTTAATGTTTCTTCCCACCATCCAGCCTGATTTCTACTCTCACAGTGTCAGTTTTCAACTCCCTTTCTGTGGTCCCTGGAAGCTTTGGGATCATAACACCACAGAGCAGACAAGTGGAAGAGTTCCCTTCCCCCAACAACACAATCCAAAGTCCTAGAATGGATCGGATTCTTCTTGATCCTAATTGAACCTGTCTCGGGTAAGTGATCATCTCAGGAATGCAAAGTTTGGACAGAAGGCAAGAACGTGTGCATTGAGTTATCACCTCCAGAAGGATTTAAGGTAGCTGTCCCCTTGCCAAACAGCAATGAATATAATGGGACCGACAACTGGCTGCTGATCAGCCTAATTAGTTAAGGTAACGCAAAGCACAGGTGTGCTTGGTAATGTTGAAACTGCTTGTTAAAAATAGTAACAGAATAACACAATTCCATTATCCAAACATTATTTTGGAACTACTGTTACTGAATGATCGATCAGACTCCTCTGTTTTTCCACTTCACCTAATGGGCTTTTACTTCTGCGGATATGACTACCCTGTTGATTATGTAAAAATGGGACAAAAAGTTCAAAGTGTATCAGATTTGAGACTTTGTGCTTCATAACTTTAAACAGACATCTGATGGAATACGAAGAACAGCAAAATACCTGATTTTATACATGTATACACACACAGCATTAACAACAAATTGTAAGTTACACCGTATTAGTTAATAACCAATTATAACTTTGGGACACTTACACTTAGTTGTATCCATGACTAAACTTTATAGTGAGAATTTTACCAATTATAATCATGTGTAAAATTATAAATCTGAAAAATATTTAACTTTATAATATTTAAAATTTGTCTGCAAATTTTAAGGAAATATAGTAGGCAAAGACCTGTGAAATCTTGTGCTGAATAGTGCAGAGACTTAAAATATGTAAAATTGTATGTATGTAAAAATGTTTTACATATACAAAACATATGTGTATTGTATATGTTACACATAATTTTACATATATTTTACATACACACCGTAATGCCATTTATAATGCATTAGCATTTCACTATTAAATAATGTTTTCGAAAAAAGATGTGGCTGCATTAAAAACTGTAATATCCTTTTCAAGAAAGGATATAAAATTATGTACACAGCTGGAAACAAAGAAAGTACTTGAAAGAAATACCATTATGAAATGATACTGTGTGATAAAATTTTATTGCTGCACTTTGTACATTTTCTTAAATTTTTACGATAACTATTTCAAAATAGCACACTGTGGGTGCTTTGAAATATGTGGGAAGATGGAATAATTTTTTAAAAATCGATTTACAAAGGGATGAATGAAGAGAAAAGAGAACCTAGGACAGGTGGGGCAAATAGAATGTAAATACTATGATAGATTTAAAATTTAAAACAGTTATTACCGCAAATGTAAATGAAGTCTACTCAACTTAAAGATACATATTTTTAGCCTAGCTAAATAATCCTTGTAAGAACATGAGACTGCTAAAAGTAAAAGGATGTCAAAACTATACTATGCAAATATAGCCAAAAGAAAGCTATACTGAGTTATAGTAAAATCGACCACAGCATTACCAAATAATAAAACAGTCCATTTCCAATGGAAAAGAAACGTCAATCCACCAGGAAGATGTGACAATTCTGTGTGTGTACGAACCTCTTAACATGGCCTCAAAATGTAGACAACAAAAATAGAACTTAAAGGAGCTACAAACATATTCACAACACTTACGGGAGATTTTAAAACACTTCTCTCATTAACTGATAAAATGAACCAACCAAGTAAAACTTCAGTAAGGGTATAAAAGATGTGAACAAGCTTACTAACAAAATTTACCTAAGTGAGCTACGTAGACAACTACATTTGACAAATTAAAGACATACATTATTTTCAAGAGCATTTAAAACATTTACCTAAATTAACTAGAAATTGGACCTTAAAGAGAGTCTCAACATATTCGAAAAGCTGTAATAATATGGAGTACGTTGTTTGGCCACAGTAATAGTTAAGCTGGACATCAATAACTAAAGTGGTTAGAAAACTCTTTATGTACTAATTAAGAAATAACTTTTAAATAGTCAGTAGGTCAAAGAAAAAAATCACAATGCAATTAAGAAATTTCAGCTCTAAGATTGCGAAACTCTAAAAATAATTTTGGGGTTTCAGGCTGAAATGCATATGTTAGAAAATGAGAAAGGCTAAAATCTAATGATCTTGGTTTTTACAAAATAGAAAACCAATAGCTAACTACCCCTCAAGAAAGAAGGAAATAAAAAAGACAAAAGAACAAAAATACTGAAATTGAAAATAAATATTCAATAGAATATAGCAACATAGATTAAAGTTAAAAGTTGGTTATTTGAAAGGCAATGAAAAAGTCCAGCAAAATGATTTAAACAGAAGCACTGGACAAATCATTTACAACAGGAATTTGAAAGGAGAATAGTGCTTCAACTCTTACCAATATTACCCATTGTAACAAAGGTTCCATGTCACATAAATCAGTAAGAAAAAGCCACAATGCTCAGTGTAAGCAGGCATTAGGCCTGAATAGATATTTCACAGAAAAAGGATAGTTACATTGCTCAAAATTACGTGAAGAACTACTCAATTGTACAAGTAATCAAGAAAACACAAATTAAAGCTACAATGTGACACAACTACACACAAGAACAGCTGATATTTAACAGATTAACCATGTCAAGTGTTGGTGAAAATGTAGAGTAATACTTCTGTCACACTGCTTGCTAGAGTGCAATTTTATAAGCACTCTGAAATATTATCGAGCATTACATATTGAAGTAGAATGTTAGCATATCTTATTCAGTAGCTATACTTGTTGTAGATATGTAACAAGTAGAAATGCATGCATGTGTGAACAAGAGACATAAATAACAGTTTGTCCATTGCCTTATTAATCACACAGACAAGAACTCCAACATGGGTGTCTGTCAACAACGGAATGGATGAATATATGGTGCTATAATGACACAATGAAACACTACACAGCAGTGAATAAGTTTGGCCAACATAACATTCAGCAAAAAGTGCCATACACAAAAAATGTATACTATATAATATCTGGTAGTTTTGGGGAACAGAAAGGTAGGTACTGATTAAGAGGACAAAAAGAAAATTTCTGTTGTACTGGTAATTTTTTTTTTCCTTACATGTCATTTCAAAGGTGTTTGCTTTTTAGTAAACTGTGGAGCTGTACCTTTACTTTCATGCACTTTTTTCCTTTTTTATATGTTAATACAGTTTTATTAATGACTCTTACCTATGCACATGTATACACATGGCTAAAATAGTCTTAAAAATATAAAAGCCTACCAAACTTGGGATGGTGAATATCTGCTCTGTATCATTACTGAAAATGAGAGGGAAAAAAAAAACAAAACTGTGCTTAAAATTCCACTTAAAGACCTTAAAGTTGAAATGTAGAAGGATGTCCAGCTAATGATAAGCATCATTGTGAAGAACTGCTAACCAGGCTACAGACCACTTATTCTTTTGGGCAGCTGGCAGGCATGTAATCATAGGGTTAAACTGAAAATTACTGATGAAAATGTAAAACAAAAAAATCAAGTTTTTAGCTGTGTTTGTTGATATACAGGTTCCAGCTCACTGTTAAACCTCGGAGGATCTTGGGAATGACATGCAATTACATATAATTGTTATGGGGTAGGGACTACTCATTCATAGCTGGGTAAGCTATTAAATGAGGCTAACATTTATTACATAAATTTTTCTTATTTAATTTTGGTGCAGCCAAAATCATTTTTGTCTCCTGATTTCTTTATTATAAACCTTTTCTTTCTACTGAGAACTGGAGATAGAGGAGATAGACAAAACATAGGAACTTTTTTTTACTATGGGTTAGGTCATGAAAGCTCAAGTATTGGGTTTGAACTGCACATAGGTTAAATAAAAAATGTGTGTTTCCTGATTCTAGACTGTGCTGCTAACCTATATCCAAGTAAGTTCAAAACTGTGGGCTATTGGCTAACAGACAAGCATGAGAGTATGGCTGGATAAATCCTAGATTTATATCATTCGGGAGACAATTAACTAAAAGTACGAAGTCTGTTGACTATGAACATGTCATGTAGAAAGTAAAAAACAGAAACCTTAAAGAGGATTCTGGGAAGACAGTGGAATAAGCCCTAGTAATTTCTCTCCCTAT